AGCATGCTCTTTTTACACAACACAAATTAAAGTTTATAAATTCAAAAATCAATTTAGTATAATAGGGGTCAAATCAACGTTGGCATCTTCAATTAGGAGAGAAAGAGTTAACAATATAACACTGCTACATTGGTTTAGTTGTACTAGCTCTTTGGAGCTACAAACCAAGGGACTGGGTACCAACAAAGGGTAAGAAAGAAAAAGATCAAAAGAGGAATAGCATCTCATATTTCCCAAATAAATCCATTCACATGAGCAACAGTTACCATAGGTCTGACACTATTAGTGTAATCAATAAAATGCTAATTATAAACTAATAGTCTTATTGAAACAGAAAAAAGGTTTTCTTTTCCTAACTAATATTAGCTACCCATTAAAGATTATTTCAAAACTAAACATTGAGATCGTCATTTCAGACACCTTGCCATTGTGATCCAAAATATTTAGGAACCCTCCTATATATCCAATTATACAAACAACCTTTTTTTTTTTTAGGAACTGACCATTAGCCAAGAAAACCACCAGAGATTAAGTTTTCTATAGACTATTGTTTCATAGATTTATAATGTATAGAACACTAGTATAATACAACTAGAAATTAAAATGCATGTCCAAGAAATAAAATACTAACATTTTCATCCATTCTCATCTTCTTTATAGCCAGACACTCTCTAGTCATAATATCAATGGCCAGAAACACTTCACTTGCAGCCCATGGGGAAAAGAAAAATTCATGATTAAAATAAGATCAAGTGGTCAGATTGAATTTTTTTTAGATAGTTAAAAACAACTAAGACTTGCTACTATAATATAACATTAGCAGTAAAAAAACAAAACAACTATACAATTAAATGTTCATATGTTTACAAAAAAAACATCAAAAGAAATCTCATTTTGCTGCATCCTAAATTATCACATATCACAGACACGTACAAATTTCACTAAGCCTAAGGAATATTATATCATAACGGTAACAAGTTGCAATAATTATTCACAATTCAGAGCTAAACTCATAAAATGCAGCTTTTAAACTTAAAATTTCTTTTGTATAGCGCAACTCTCATGCTTATTGCATGCTCAGAGGGCTACAGTTCAGAGTCAGTTGTGGACCTGAAGGAGGAGAAGGTGCCATGTTTCTGTGCTACCTTTAGACAGCTCAGCAAACACAGCTCAGCTCAAGTGGGATTCAATCTTGAGTGCCCTTGATAGGTAGCCAAGCAGTTTTTGCCAATCACCCACAAACATCCCAAAGAGTAAAGACTTATGGTAGTTTCCTAACTTAAATACTGATGAATGAAGAACAAATTTATAATCACAGAGCTAAGTCATAAATTATTATTTTAATTTATATCAACTCACTCTATCTGTCTAGCAAAAGGTTTGTACACATTATTTCTCTCACACCCAATCTCGGATCAAGTTGAAATTTTGCACCAATTATTTCTTTTACCTGACAAAACAAGAATCAATAATAAAGAAAAATTAACCAATCAGTTACAGGCTAATTCACTATTGGTAATTAATAATTTTGTTTGGTATCTTGAACAAGGGAAAGAAATTTACTTGACCTATATTGTTACCTTGTGCAGTAACCACTGTGCCAGGGAAGTGCTTATGAAAATAGAAGATATTGTAAAGTTGAATTAATCCCCTCTTATACTTTGTAGAGAGAAACATTTGAAACTAACACTAGATAACTACAAAACCTACCATAAGCATTACCCTGGCATAGTGGTTACTGTACAGGCTAAAAGATGCTTTCCTCAAGTTCAACAAATTCATGTCGTCATTTGTTTTAATCATTATAGATGTGTATTTAAAAATAAGTTATTACCCAGATAACCCCTCTTTCCCCCACACCCCTTTCCAATTGGTCCAGGCAAGTGATAGGATCATAGCATATTGAGAAAACTAATAGCACTTACCAACCAAAACAATTGGTACAAATATTTGTAGATTTATTGTTATTCTAGATTTATTACAAATTTAATTACATGACTAATCCAAACTAATTGATACAAATATGCTTAATAATTAATAGAAGCTATATAAACATTGTTTTTAAATTTGTAAAGGTTTTTTTTTTTTTTTGCTTTTCTTTTTTTCTTTGTTTTGACCTAAATAGTCATAAATTTCAATACAAGTCTAGCAAACAAAAAACGTATCAGTGTTTAAATTCATGACCTCCATCCCCAACAGTGTGCTCCTATTTTTAAGCAATTAGCTTTTTCACAAGTTTATCAGCAACAGTGATCTTTCCAGAATCAGCTGAAGGTATCTCCAATTAGAGATTGCGCATTATATGAGAATGGAAGCCTATCTGGGTACAATTTAATTTAGTGATCAAAAGTAAAAAAAATGAAAAAATGTAGAAAGTTGGACTTTATTCCTTTTGGAACATTTTTAGGATGTGAAGACAGCGTTCCACCACTCAATTTTAACAGGGGAGATTCCATGGAACCCTGGAGTTTTTCAAGAGAAATATAGATCTCTAGATTTTTTATTTTATTTTCAAAAATGTCTTTTGGCTAGGTCAAGTCCAAGTACATTTAAATAATCTAGTTATCTAGAGCTAGTCTATTACCCTTATTACTAACTTAGTAATTATTAGATCTACACTCTACTCTAGACAATATTGTCAATATATCTATAATTTAAAGTTTAATTAGTATAAAAATAATAATCTAGAGCTAGTCTAGAGACTAAATTAGGGTCTTATCTAGTGTAGATTATGATTTAAAAATTAAAACAACAAACTTAGAACTTAAAATTTACCCATAAGATCCACTGCCAAGTTGCCTTACAATGTAAAATATTCGATGGAGTGTGCTTTGCTGAGCATTGCTGAAATGTGGAAAATGCAACATTGGCGTCATTGGTGGAGGTAGTAATACTGGTAATGGTAAAGACTGTAATGGATTTCCTAAACTGAAATGCTGATTCTGTGATTCATTGCCTTGAATGTTAACGGATGATACTTCTGAATTTTGCATCGACTGTCCTAGATCTAAATCTAAATTCAAGGATTTCATTTTCAGATCTGAACTCATTTTACAATGATCATGAATTTCATGATGATGAATTGTGTGTAAAAAATGAGGTGCGTCATTTGAATAATTCTCAATACTCTTACTTTCCATTACCAAAAAAATATTGAAACACAAAAACTTTTTTTTTTGCTTAAAATAAAATACACTCAAAAATTGGTGAAAAGAGAGCACATTAAAAAAGCTCATTAAACATTAAAGAAAACAGCGGTCCACACTCACTCGTACATTGTAATGTGATTGGACACATAACAAGGGATGCTATTCACAAAAAATAAAAATAAAAAGCTACGTGGTTATCCTTACACTGAACTATATAGATCTGAACGCTATAAATAACTTTAATTTGAAAAAAAAAAACATGCAAAAGTAACTACTTTGAGCTTCACTCAATTTATTTGAAAATGTACATAGATCTAAAGCTATTGATTATCTATTGATTATTGATTGATCTATATACAATATATATTTTCTTAAAAATAATTATTTTATATTATAAAAAAAAGCAATTTCATTTCTTGTTTTAAACTATATAAATAATAGTTTGAATTAATGCATTGACCTACAGTCTATAAAATAAGTTGATAACTTAATGAAACTTAAAGCTTATATCAACTCATTCTCTCTATCTAGTAAAAAGCTTGTACAGGTTATTTCTACCACACCCGTTCTTGGATCAAGCAGAAATTTTTCCCAAAATTTCTTTTACTTGACAACTCAAGAATCAAAATTAACCAATTAGTTAATTATTTTGTTTGGTATCTCAAACAAGGGAAAGAATATGTACTTGACTAAAGTGATATCCAATTTACAGGTTACCTCTCTAAATTGAAACAAACAATTATATATAACTAAACAATCTTCTCTAGTACCTCACAAGCAGAGTGATTTATTAGCATGTTGGCCTGAGTTGTGACGTTCCCCCTTTTTAAAAATGCTTTTAAAAACCATGTACTGTAAAATTCACCCAGATATCTCTTTCTTTCATCCTACCCCTACAATTCTCCAACTGGTCCAGACAAGTGGTAGGATTATAGTGTATTTAGAAAGCTAAAAGCATGAGTTTGTGCTCAACAAAAACAATGGGTAAAAATATTTCTAATCACACAGATTTATTTTTTTGGTCTAGACCTTTTACAAGACTGATCCAAACAACTGATACAATTATCACCATGTATAAGCTTTGTTTTTTAAAAAGTATTTTTTAATGTTTTTCTTGTTATTACTTTATTGTGTACTTGTCTTAACCCCACATTTTTTCTATATTAGATCTAGATCTATATTATAAATAGATTTTAAATCTAGTGCCGAGGAAAAACACGTTTGGCTCAAGACCTTCATAGCCGTCTTATAATTACTGTTGTAACTTCAAAAGAGAAGATTATTGGGTCCTACACTTTTCATGTATCAATCTAGTCATACATGTTAATCAGTAACTTAAATTCTGCTAAGATCTATATATCAAGGTTGTGATTCCATGAAATCTGTTTTATTTTTAATTTAAGATATAGGGGATTAGACACAGCTGGATCTAGATTCTACAACTATAAAGATCTAGATGTGCATTTAAATAATCAATACAACCCTTCAGTTAAGGTGACACTGAGTTTCAAAGCAGGTTTTTCCAAATTACCTAGAAGCTATTTAGTCCAGCTGTTAATAACAACATAAACCTTAAATTGTGTGAGCATACACGAAATGAACTATTCTTTCAGAAAAACAAACACATAGAAGGTTAAGCAGGATGGACAATTTTTATTAACACTTTTTTTCTTTTTTATATATGTAAATAGTTAAGCATACAAAAGTACAAAAAAAAATGTAACAACATTATTTGTAATAAAAAACTACTTAGGAAAAAAAAAATTACATTAAACAAAATTATTCTGAAACAACATTAGGACACAATATTTACAAAAGATCTAAACTAATTTTGTTAACAGTTTGGCCTAACCTCCCCCCCCCCCCCATTTTGTTTTTAAACAGAATGTTTGACAACTTTATAAGGAATGACTAGGCTTCAAGAGTTAAAATCAGGATTTTCACAACTATGAAAAAAATATAAATAAATTTTCAAAATTCAAAATTTGTATCCTAAACAAGTGCTCATATTTTCTTTTTCTAAACACCTTTCATCATAATATTCCAGATAGCCAACAAGTAACAAAATAAATAACTATGTACCTGTACTAGCAAATGTCAAGTTCCACACTTTTACTGAAGTAAATAATAATTTTAAAAAAATAAAAAAATAGCACAAGAAAAATAAATACAATCAATAGAAAAGTACAAAGTTGAAAATTTACCTATGACAGAGATTTTATAGAGGAAAAAAACATTTTAAAAACAACTTCACACACAGATAATTTTAAGATGATGAAAGTGGTAGAAATGGGGATGAATATTCATTCTCTCCACACTTATGCAATAAATAATAAGGAATGGATTTGGATTTCAAAACATCAACATCTCAAAACTGAGACAAAGGGCATACAAAATTTCGACTTTTTTGGTTAAAGTAGATTTTGGATTCAGTAACCTTTGTGCTTGCAGGTGTAGGAAATTATATGTTCCACTATGTCAGTATCACTTTCTTTACATAAAAGTTATAGTTAGCTAAAAGCTTTTTAAAAAAAATTAATTAATAATCCCATTTTTTCAAGCTAAAAATGAAAAAGGTGTTTGAAAGTAAAATTAAAATACAAATCAACCCAGAAAAAAAAAAGAATTGCACTTCACCAATAATTCACAAAACAAATCAATATAAAATTGTGCTATCATTATTAAAAAAAATATTAAAATAAGACTTTCAATTTTGAAGAAAAAAAATTTAATGATTATAAACAAAAGTGTAATTGGTTTACATACAACTTTTCTTCTAAAATATATTTTCATTTCGTACTTTGTGTTAGTTAACTTTTAATTCATTAAATACATTTGTTTATTTGTAATGTTGAGTGTTACCCAAACTGACAGAAAATATTTTGAATTTTGTTGTGTAAACGAAAAAACGATTTTAGAGTTAAGGGAAAAAAAAATTCAGTTTGATTCATCAGTAATGTATATAATAAGAATAAATATAAATTTTGCACAACATTAAAATTAGCATCAGTTTAATATGGTTATTAAATAAGTCTCGACTGAAAAATTTGACAGTGATATTGGAAGGCAAATAATAAATAAAAAGAGTCAAATATAAGATGGCAATGTATTTTTGTGGTTGGCCCATACTTCCAACAGGCAAACGGGTATTAACTGCAACAATTTGAGATGGCAGAGCGGTGTACAATTACACATGAACTGTCCTTAAAACTAAAAAAAAAAATTTTTTAATAATGATGAAGAAGCAACAAATGTTAAAAACTGGAAATAATATATATGTATTTTTAGAAAAGTTGATTAAAAACAAAAAAATAGTTTTGTAAAAAAAATTATAATTGTTCATATAGCAAATGGGGGTATATTCTTGGATATTACAAATTATAAAACAATAATTTTTTTATAACTATAAATGAAAGAATTTTAAAAAAATAAAAATAAATGAATATAAATAATCATATCACTTTGAATTAGAAAAGAAAGTATTATGCTAGAGATTGTTCAGAACAATAGGGCTCACACTGTTCATTGCAAGATCATTTGCCCTGTCAAACAATATCAAGAAAGTATATAAAATAATATTTGGATACTATATTTAAAGTATTTCAGCTTCATAAGAATAAAAACTGTTATTGATCTTAAATACTTTAGGGAGATTCTGACATACCAGTTTTCATTTTTATTATTATTAGGGTGCATGTGGCCAGCACAATGAACGCCTTTATTTCCCTAATGAGGTGGGAGGACTCGGGGGCATACTAAATATACTGAAGTCCAAAAGTTCACCAGGATTTAAATTACAGACCTCTCGATAAAGAAGCCAAACATTTTACTACTCAACCACCACACCCCCTCACTGAGACAGTCTTTTTAAATTGAGAAATCCGTATATAGAAAATCGTATGTACCCGCTATGGTGTAAAATATAAAGGTGTACCCTACCATAAACATTATCACTGTATCGAACCAAACTTTATTGCTTCAAGACTCTATCGATGAAATAAATAAATATAGATTGACCTTTTTTATAAAGAACAAAATAAACAACAACAAAAAATTTACCCATTTCTAAAACAAAATGTGTACAACTAAATTTGTTTAAAAAAGTAACAAAACAATACAAATCAAATATAAAAAAAAATTGGATTCATCAATACTGGCTTAAAACAAAATAAAAACTTCATGTTTCCAAGCAACGTCTTAACAAGTAAACAAACAAAACGTGAAATGTATTTATATGTATTTATAAATGAGCTTTTTAAAATACATCAAGGTTACCATAAAAACAAAATGTTCAAAATGTTGACGTTTACAAATCTTTGAAAAACAAAAAAAAAACTTGTCTGATTTGTGAACAGAATTTAATAAATCTGTCAGTCTTTGGGTCACAGCACAATTAAAAAAATATATATTCATTCAACTATCTCTAATTTAAAATATTTCTAGCACAGTAACACCACAAATTCAAATCAACTAAGTCAAAAACAAAATGTAATGACATTGTCAAATGTCAATGTGACCGGCATAAGGTTGTCCTAGGTCCTAGTTATCTTATCTTCTTCTTATCTTATATAATACAGACGTTACTCCAAAAAAGAAGATGATTACATCCTACACGTCATGCATTTAGTCATGCATATTAACCAACAATTAACCAATAGTTATTAAGATGTAAGAAGTTTCTAAACATTAGAACCATAATTCTACCTGTTTGTAAATTTCATATTTTAAAAAAAGTTATAAATCTTAATTTCTTTAAGGCATTAATGAGAAAAAATCAAAATAAAGTCATCTGTTGTTTCAGTGTTGTATAGTATATGCTAACCATTCCAAGCAACTCTTTTTAAAAGAAAATTTCATTTAAAAAATATTAAAATTACTTTTCAGCAAGTTAGTTATATTAATACTCTGGTACAACCAATTCAACAGGTTTGTGGATGAGCTAATCTGCCGAAGTTTGGAATGCTAAATTCTAGACAATACAAAACTTTCAATGATAGTAGTTCTATATTCAGGGTCCAGTTCTAAATGTATGCTTTTTTTTTTTTTACTCATAGTAAACCAAATAAGAAGTTAACATGTAACATTCAGAATAAAACTAAGCATTAGACTAAGGAAATTATATTCAGATTTAATAATGACTTGCTGTGATTTCTGAAATATGATCTATATAATAGTTCTACACAAAATATACTACCATAATTACAATATTAAGTGATATATATTTGGTGAAAATGTACATGTATACTGTGTATTTAACAAGTTTAAATCTAATAAATTCTTCTTTAAGTAGAGACCTAGTCAACTAAAATCCTTCTTGAAAAAGTTTTAAATTATGTCTCACTGATCTCACCATATAAAAAATCTAAAAAAAATTGGTCTGTATTGATAAAAATAGCTTTTATTATTTTTTATTCTTTAAAGGTTAAAAAACAATAATTATATAACTATAGTTGAAACAAGAATGGCACAATTTATACCATGTCCTGCTCTTAATATTTCCTCTTTTCATTTAATGTAGGCCAAGGGTTAAAAGCTATACAAATTAAAATTTATGTATTAAAATCCATTTTAACCATTTATTTAAAATTCAAGCATTAAGAATTTAGTTAATAAAGTATAAATTTTTTTAGTGACAAACAAAGTTTAGTTCAAAGTAAAAACAACAAAAAATGTGATATCACACTCAGCAAACTAAAAAAAGTAAGTCCACTGGTTTGTTGGTAAAAAAAAATTGTTTTTTTTTTAAAGAAATTGACAAAGCTTGTGCTACTATTAATGAATCCCAATTTAATGCTTTTATGGAAGAGAACAAAACACTATAACCTTAATATATGTCTAAGTCAAAATGAGGAATGTTCAATCTATTCAACAGCGGAGCTGTTAACAAAGTTTCTATTTATACTTGTTAAACTGGCTTTTGTGTTCAACAAAATATGATGAAGGAATGTTGTAACAAATTACCATATTCTATCAAATCTAAGCCGCATCCTTTTTTTGTATTTTTGTAGAGCCTGAAGTTGGCAGGTGGTTTACATTTTGGTCACAGCTAGTGCTGGCAAATTAAAAAACTTGTAAATGAACAGACAAGTGACAGCCACTTGTTTAAGAAAAGAACATATTTACTAATAAGATTTCAAAATAACACTTAGACAATTTTTAGATAGAAAAGAAGCTAAATTAACAATGAGTAGGTATGCATCATATTTATGACTAGAGGAAGATGGTTTGAAGTCAGTGCTCTGCTTCTCTGTTGCATACTTTTTTTGACAAAACTATCTCTTGCCACTTGGACTTTGTACTTCCGTTAGGTTTAGACACAAGGTTAGGGTGAATGGGTACCATGATGATGATGACAAAAGTATTTCGCAAGTAATGTTAAAGAGAAACTGGGTTATGAATGTATATCTTGTGTGCTATTGTACAAATGATGGCTCTAATTATGTATTGTTTTTTTAAATGCACAATTGTAAAACAAATTTCCTCAAGGATAATAAAGATTATTCTTATTCTTATTATTATCATTATTATTGTGTGCTAACATGGGATGGAATATCAGCTGCTGAGATTTTTGTTTTCCCCACAAAATATAAGGTGATGCTATGATTCAGCCATGGCTTAGATTCAATAGAATATGGTACTATTAGCTTGCAAAAAAGTACAAGATATGTGTCCACTTCTTGACTCACTGGATATGCAAAGTACCAACAAATGTTATAAATACTATTTAGAAAACAAGTCCCACAACAGTATAATGAATGGCAGACCAGATTTTTGTCTTTTTAACACACATGATCAACCCTCCCCTCTTACCCTCATTCCGATCAATCTCTAAATCAGCGTTTCCCAAACTGTGTTCCACGAACACAAGGTCTGAATAGGTGTTCCACAAACTACTGGAATAACTAACTAGTAGACCACCATAAAAAGTAATCTCTGCTAAAAAAATAAGCAAAGTGATCGCTAAATACTCAGGCTGTGCAAAGTGTTCCGTGAGGGAAAAAAGTTTGGAAACCACTCGTCTAAATAATAAACAGAATAAAATAATATCTTTACAATGTCTAAAGGAAGGAAATCTCAATCTGGATGAACAATAAATAATTGACATGGCTGAATGAAACTGGAAAAGACAATTGCATTC